CTAAATCGAAAGGGAGAAGTGTTACTCGAGACGCGGATTGTGGAGAAGATCTTGAGGTCGTTAACATACAACATAGAGAATGATGTTGTATGTGTCATAGAAGAGTCAAAGGACCTAGCGACGGTCGTTAACATACAACATAGAGAATGATGTTGTATGTGTCATAGAAGAGTCAAAGGACCTAGCGACGTTCACGGTCGATGAGGTCACCGATTCTCTCGAGGCACATGAGCAATGTAAGAAAAAGAAGAAGGCATTCGATCGAGCGCTTCAGACTAAGGCATCAATAAATGATGAAAAGGTACTCTACCCTCAAAATACTCATGGTAGAGGTCGAGGAAGTCGCGAGAATGGTCGAGGTAGTCAAGACAACAATTATGAAGAAAATTACAAGGAGAAGAGACTATCAAGCCAAGCAAATTGGCGTGGAAGAGGATGCAATCAAGTACGTGGTCAAGGATATAATTCCAACGTCCAATGTTACAAATGTCAAAAATATGGCCACTATGTAAATAATTGTAACTCCGACAAATGTTACAATTGTGGCAGAATGGGTCACTATGCAAGAGATTGTCGAGCTGAGGAAAAGGTGGAAGAAACGATCAACCTAGCCTTGGATGACGCAACAAACAGAGGCATTCTCTTGATGGCCCAAAATGAAGAGCTGAAAACAAAAGAACACGGCAGTGCGAAAGACGATGGCGATAGTTGTGAGACAATGGAAACTGTTGAAAATGAGGTGATGCGCGCGGATGTGGGAAATCCTGATAGCGGAGACGAGAAAATCGAATAGAGATGAACAACTGAATAATAGAGAACCCGAGCTCGAAGAGAGAGAGCTCCAATGGACGGAAAAGTAATTCAAGGAAGAAAGAAGAAAGAGGATAAAAATGGAAGAAAAAAAAGAAGATTTAGAAATAAAGGTTGAAAGGTCAAAGAAGAAAATTGGTGAGCTGTTTTGAGAGTTCCTCCCTATCTCAAATAAGAGAAGGAAGAGAATGGGCAGGTAATCTGTGAACTTCTGAAGAAAGTTAAAGAAGGTGTGAAGAAAGAGAATGGACTTTTAATGGAGATTGATACTATAGTGGGCGAGCTAGTGAGTGAGGAGAAAAATATAGAGATGCTGACTCACCTAAATCAAGTGCAACAAGAGGCAGTGAATTTACGACACACGATTTAGAAAGTGGTGCAAGTGAAATCATTGAATAGCATTTAAGTTTATTGGGGAGTTTTTTTGGAATAAACTTAAATTTATAAAAGGTAGTTTTTAATTCTATTAATTTTAGTAAGGTTTTTAAAATTTGGGTGGTAAGAAGGAAAGGACAAACAAAAGAATGAAGGCCAATAATCATTTTAGGAGGGAGCTGGTATGGATAGCCAATTTTAGATTTTAGAAAACCTATATATTAATAGATTTTTCATTGTAATAAAGTAGAGCAAGAGCATAGGAAGAATTAAAAGAGTTAAGTACGGTATAATAGAAAAAGAGTTTTTCAGAATTTCTTTTGTCTCCTTGTCTCTCCCCTTTCGACATCTCCTTCACACCCTTGTGAGTATTATTTTAACAAGTTAATATCAGAGCGAGCATTTATTTCTACAAATTGGTATCAGAGCGGATTGTTATTTTCTACAAATTAGTATCAGAGCAAATTTTATTTCAACACTCGAGAGCAAACTTAGGTAACTTCGTGAACTCTAAATCATATTCCTTCACGGTTTTCTCCTCTTGTTTGAAGCTAAAAAATGTCTCTTTATCCTTCAACTTTGCCACAGCGAGATAGTACTTCTCAACCTAAACCAGGTCTAAGGAATGTTCCCCACATTCAGGGTAGTTCATATACTAGAAGGTTGTCTCTATTGCTTCCAGCCATGCCTCCTCTGTCACGGGATCCACCTAACGTGGGTGGATCAAACTTTTGGGAGTCCTTGAGTTATTGAGACTTTTCTGTGATCCCTTGAAAGTCATGGGTGCCTGTGTGCCATGGGCTGCAGTGATGGCTTCTACTACTTAACTTGCTTATGTCTCCAAAGTTGCCTTATGAAGGACTACATGGTTTCTAGCGGTGATGGGTTTTCATATCTACTTTCGGCACCCCTTCGTGTAGTTTTCAAAAGAAAACCTTTGGCTTCCTCGTTTAGTAGCTACTATTTTCTTGGGTGACATGTTATAAATCCTAAAAGAATTCTTTAGATTACTCACTTATTCATTAGGGATCTTAAGGTTGTCTTAAATCTTGTCTTAACCAGTTGTTCTAGAATCATACAGCTTTTAACATAAAACCTTCGGCCTACTTAAACTTAGAGTTTTATAGACTTACTTACCTAGACGTAGTGGGACTTCCTCTGAAGCTTAGCCATAGATAAACCTTTTCTCTTATACCAATCTGTCACTACCTGATTTTCGAAGTATTAATCCTAACTTGAAAATGTGGTGAAATTTTGTGTGAAATGAAACAAAGACATTACAGCATAAAATACATATACATAGTTTCAACCCAAAACAATGAATGGACTCAAAATATTTAAAACAAAAAGAGTGTTGGAGGCGGAGGTGGTTTTTATATGTCTCTATCAAAAACATAGAAAACATTGAGCGAGTATAAAGGCTCACTAAGTAGCCTATTTATAGTTTCTTAATCGTGTCAATGGCATGAGCTAAAGTTCTATACTTTCTAAACAACTTGGGATCTGACATATAAACTTGGCTTGGATTCACGAGAGGGTTAGTCCTTGATTTTCAAGTAAACATGAGACTACTCTAAGTCAAGATAAGCTACACGTTAGCTCTTATTTTTAAGTAATCAGGTTATTACCTAAAATTACGACGAGCTCTGGGTTGGCTCTTTATTTTTAAGTAATTAGGATGGTATCACATGATAAGTTTTAGGATAGCTCTTGATTTTTAAGTAATTAGGTTGCTACCCTAAGTCCGAGGTAAGCTCTTAAATTTTAAGTAATCATAATGCTATCTTATGGTAAGGTTTAGAATAGCACTTGATTTTTAATTAATCAATAATTTTTAAGTAGTCAGTATTAGTTGTTCATTAATCATAGGACCATAGAGTCTCTCGGGGGTAGTGTCTAAGGCATAAGAACTCAAAACGCAGAACTAAGGTCTTCACTACAAAACTAGGTACCAAAATGGGTTAACCTTATAAAAAAAAATGTTAAAAGAAGAAAACAAGTCATCTTTTCGGAAGGGGAAAAGTTGGAATTCAAGCTGAATTAAGTATTCGAGGTTTTCTAGCACTATTATTGACACTTTAGTGTCTTCTATTGAGCGCATTAGTTTTGATAAGAGGATATGATCTAGTCTTGTAGGTATTTATTGAATATACGAAACTGATCAAGATCGAAATGAACAAGAGGTACACTTCAAGAAAACAAAAATTCTCACAAGTATAGGGGACAAAAAAGACGACACTTCCTAATTTGTACTAGTCCAAACAAATTCTAAAGAGAGTAACAAGATAAACCATTAAGTGAGCTTAATGTTCAGTTACACAAAACTCTAATGGTATGAGTCTTTGGTGAACAAAAATGTTTCCTTTGGACACTGAATGTTATAGAATTTGTCTAGTAAACCATTTTAAACGAGGAACATTTTGTAGTTTGTCCAAGTCACCAATAAAGTCACACAAAAGGTGAGGATGTGGATGCGTATAGCCTAGAGAGAAAAAAAAATGTTATATTGATGTAATACGTAGAGGTCGAGTTTTCTAAATTATTTTTATTGGGTCTAATATCTTATTATTAAATTAAAATTTGTCTCAAAGTAAATTTTGTAGGCTAGAAATTTTTTATTTAATCTAAGGTCGCTACTTTATCTATATCATGAACATTTAATGCAGAATACCTCATTGGAAAATCTATAACAAAACCTGACCTTGTTCTTATTCTATGGTTTTTGAATTAAAACAATGCGTACCAAAATAACAGGAAATAACATAAAGTAAAAATATCATATACTAATTTATATGCTACTAAATGAAAATGCAACTGGCCTATATTAACCTATACATGCCTATAGTCTAATAATTCAAATTACAAAATTACCCTAACATGTGTCATAGTCTCCTAATTGCGATGTCACCGTCGTGCAAGTGACCTTGCCTTTATCTGAAAAATAAAAATAGCACATGGCTTGAGTATTTTAATAAATACAATTTCATCTATCGGAGTTAAATGCAAACACATACAATTTCATGAATGGGACCTATCATAACAGTTTATTTTCCTACTGTGGCTATCCTAAACGGGCAACTTGGATGTGTACTTAATTTCCCTACACACGGTTCATATGTGCGAGTATGGACCCACCGGTTAGTTCGCACACGTTTTGGACCTCTTTCTGGTCGAGCGAGCATTCTCTGATAGCTGTTGATGTCGGACACTCATTAGAAATAGCAACTGTCACAACAACATTATGACACCCATTAGAAATAGCAACTGCCTCATAGTGTACACGTCGATACTATCATGAAGGAGAAGAGATATCTCCCGATGCATAAACACACAATAATGCATGAGGTCCCAACTTTTTTCCATTTTCATTATCATTTAATACAACCCCGCTAGCGTCTTCCTTCATATCATATTATTTTGTCATATCATTTCTCAAATCATTTATCATATCATTTATTATATTTTTCATACATATGTCGGGGTTGTATTTCATGTTAGTTCGTCATTTTGCATGTCAATCGAATCATGTCATTCATGTTGCACATATATCATATCATAACGTTTCCATGCTTTCTGACATAACACTCCACATCATGCACATATCACATCATATCATAAATCATAATAGTCACATAAGATATCATATCATAAACATGGTCGTGTGAAGGATAGTTTACTTACACTTTATGGACACGTACTTGATGGCCATTGATTCCCACACTAGAATAGCTCTCTGTTGAACGTTACCAGGGAATAATGTGTCGTTAATGTACTCATCGGAAATTTGATCTCCCTCCCTCCCTCTCGTTCTTTCTTTACATTTCTTTCTTACAGATCGATTTGGAAGTTTGGCTGAAGGAGCAGAGGTCATTAGGTGCAGCGTAGGGGTTCGGGAAGCATGTGTTCGAGTGAAGTGCGAGAATTTCGACGCTTTGCCTGANGTACCCCTTGTACACACCCAAATCAACCTTCCTCAAATAAGGAGCTCCATCCATACTCACTTTCACATAAATCCCTCCGCCCTCCGCCGCCGTCGTTGCCTCCGTTTTCTTGGGTAAGAGAGTGTTTTTCCTAAACGATCTAATCGGCGGCCACCCAACAACCTGAGACCTACAAAAACACAAATTGAGAATCAAAACAGAGCCCCAAAAACCATTACAAGAGTCAAAATCGAAACACGGCACTTACTTGGGTGGAGGGGCAGAGTGATTCTGTAAATTTCTCTTGTTAGTTCGAACCCCACAAGAGTTGTCTGCAGAGCCGTCGATTCCTGGGAGGCCGAGGCGAAGCTGGGTGGCTTCGAGATTGAGATGGTTCTGAAATGAAAGCTGGGAATCCATTTTTTGGTTTGTGAGAGCAGAAAAGGCTGGAAATGGAAGGGTGGTTTTATAGATAAGATGAAGAAGGAGATGTCGGTGGGAATGGGGGCAGAGAGCGGCAAAGGGAAAGGGGAGAGGGGACAGAGGAGGGGACAGGAAGAGCCGCCCAAATGGAACAGAAATTGAAGGCTGAAGATGCGTTTAAGGGACAAAGCATTGGCATGTGAAGTGGGGGCCATACCCTTTGCAATCCGGGTGCCTATTAATAATTTAATTTTAAACATTTATATTCTTTCTAGAAGGAGTTAATTTGTAATTACATGGGAAAGATTAGTTGACTAAGTCAAAGTTGAGTTATGCTTCAAAAATTAGCCAAGATATTAAAATAAATAAATAAATAAAAAGTTAAATTTTGAATAATATTTTAATTTCTTGTTTCTTATTTGGTTGTTGGTGTGGGCGTGGGGTGGTTGAGTCCCACGGTGTCAATTGGTTGGCTAGTAAATCAAAATGAATAGAGTGTACCAAAACCCATGAACCAAAGGACCCATCCTCCCCCACCTCGTGTGCCTCTTCCATCTCATTTTTCCTTCTTTCTTTTCCTCTTCCTTTCTTTCTCGTTACTGCTTTCAAATCTCCACCGACTTATTATTGTTGAATGAAACTCTCATCGGCTAATGAATACTATCTCTATGGGTCCGAGCTCTTTTGGAAAGCCTAAAGCAAAGACACCGACATTTTATTTGTTCGTGTAAATAGTGACTTGCAATTCCTTTTGGAAAGCCTAAAGCAAAGACACCGACATTTTATTTGTTCGTGTAAATAGTGACTTGCAATTCTTGTAAGTCTTTTTTAGTCATTTTATTGTCACGGTTACTCTTGTTAAATGTAGTATTGGTTCTTTTATGTATATCTCTTTTATTCGGGTGACACTTATAATATAAAATTCACAACTTTTTTATTAAACAACTTATTATTTTTTTATTTCAAACTTTCAAAAATCAAGTAAAAAAAAGATTCTTAATTAAAACATGTTTAGAATACATAAGATTGTTTTGAATTATATTTTTTATTTTTTTAAATCAACTTGACGTTTGATTTAGAACTTTAATTTAAATTCGATAAAAGTGACTTTTAACTATTTTAACATTATTTTCAAGCCACAAATAAAATAACTTTTTTTTAGGATGTACATAAATTGTATTAAAAAATTCTTTTAGGTGAACGGTAAATTTCCAAGTTATTGAGTTGGTGATTCAAATAATCATGATAGAGATTCACATCATAGAAAAATTGTTTTTTTAATTATTTTTTAAAAATTTTACTTATTTATAATACATATTATATTAATAACTAAAACTTCAAATATCAAACATTCACAACTAACATCAGTTACCAATATCAAATATTTTTAATCTAATAATACTCTTTTAAACCTTAAGGTAACATCATGTCAAATGTTACTATTCTTATAATACTCTTATCAAATTAACTGATCAAAAAAATGTCACACCCAAATCTAACCTATTACACGTAATTCTAAAAATCTATTTTTCAAAAAAAATTTATGAACTTATTACACGTAATTCTAAACTCGAACGGATAACGAAGGGAAGAAGAAGGTAAAGAAACAAAGTTGTGGTGGAAAGGGCAAAGGCATGGCGATCTATGAATGGAAGAAGAAGAAGAAGAAGAAGAAGAAAAATAATGAGAAAGATAGCGATGCAGAACCAATGGAATCAAGATTTGGTCAATGGAGCTGCCTGTCGTTCAGCTCCTTCCCCACCGTGCTGGAATTTCCAGCTTGGTTCCGATATGACAGCTCTTCAATTCAGTACCTTGAATCATAATAATAACACTCCTTTCCTGTTTGGCTTCTTTTTCATGTTCTTTCTGGGATTCCTTTGAATTCCTACATCTTTTTTCCTATAAATTGTGTTAGGTACCTGAGCTATCTATGCATTAATAATTGTATTTTGAATATCTACTAACATTAATTAATCACTTTTCGATTAAAAAATAATTTTTTTTAATGTGAAACTATCTTTATAAAAGTGAGTAGAACATAGCGAGATATAAATGAGCTATTGTTGTCCTAACTCTTTAATGGTGAGTACATAGGGCGGTGCCTAACTCTGAGATATAAATGAGCTATTGTTGTCCTAACTCTTTAATGGTGAGTACATAGGGCGGTGCCTAACTCTTTTGTCTCTGTAAGGCTACTAAATCAGGCACACGAGCCTAAATGCTATATTATTATATTATCTACCGATATTATATAATCAAGAGATTATAATATGTTGTATAGAAAATTGGAAATAATTAATTATTTCTACCGATATTATATAATCAAGAGATTATAATATGTTGTATAGAAAATTGGAAATAATTAATTATTTTGAACTAACTAAAACTAGTGTGAGAGGACCAAAATGGAAACATGGACCTAGGCCAAAATGGAGAAAAAGTTGACCTAGCTTCGTGCCCAATTGACCAGATCCTATACATATCTTGGCCCAAAAGTTCAAGAGATTAGGACGACGTATAGTTAGAGATATATATACAATGAGACGTAAGATGAAAAAACTCTCGGTGTATCTATCTTGAGTTCCACATAGATTTTATTATTATTATTATTATTATGTATTTATATAAAAGATTTCCATTATGCAATATAATTTCTATTAGAAAATCTAATCAACATATATTTCTTTAAGAAAAAATATATACTATAATATTAAATACAATGGATAAAACTTCAAAATTTAAGAGTATATTCAAAACTATATTAAAAAAATATATTTATTTTTCTATAAGTCGTTGTCAAACTTCATTAATAAATTCTTGAACCAAAAGGCAATACAACCTAACCCATTAACGTCTCCTTACTCAAAGTAGATCTCCACCAGTTTGGTTCAACTCCTTTCGGTCTAATCTAAAAGAGAAAGTGAGACATAAATTCGTATAAATGGATAATTATGACAGAGTTAAGTTCAAGTTTTTTACACATTTTCTTGATCTCAAACGTTGAGATCAAAACGAGTATGACAAATTTAAGTATTTTACAAGGTTAGGTGTTTGTCTCATTTAACAAATTTACCACGTTCATGCATTTCCAACTTTGAAAATCACATTTTTCATCCATCCCAAAGTGATATCAAACTTATCCGGACGCCATATACACACATTATTTCCAAATAATTTAACTCATACAAGACCTCAGCCACTTTCTTACACAAAATCAATGCCAAAACTTCGGCTACCTGCATTTAACTCATACAAGACCTCAGCCACTTTCTTACACAAAATCAATGCCAAAACTTCGGCTACCTGCACATATGACGACATTCCACCCATCAAAATTAATATCATCATCAATAATAATAATAAACAAAAACAAACAGCTGGGCTTATAAATGAAATAAGCTAAGGAAGTGAAAACAACACAACATAGAGACAAAAAACAAACAGCTGGGCTTATAAATGAAATAAGCTAAGGAAGTGAAAACAACACAACATAGAGACAAAAAAATTAAGTGGGAAACTTTGTCTTGGGTGCATTAATATCCATGGGTATCCTCTCATTAAATTTTTGTAGTGTCTTATAACTTTATAACTTAAAACAAATATCTTTCAATTATGGTTCTCACCATTGCGTCCACATGATTCATCGCCTACTTTTGAATCGTCCTTATACTCCATTATAAAAAAATAATTGGTGAATCTCGTCACTCCACCTCTATCTACTAACATTTCGTTTTTCATTTTTTAATTTTAAAAAATATTACATATCATTACTGACGTAAAATATATCTAATATGTATTTAAATTTTGTCTACTTTCAATTTTAGTTTAATACATTAAAAAAACTAATGTATTGAGTATAATATGAAATGAATTAAAAATGAAAAATTTTAGTTTAATACATTAAAAAAACTAATGTATTGAGTATAATATGAAATGAATTAAAAATGAAATAATTTGTATTTAATTTGTAAAATTGAGGTAATTATGGACCATCGTCCACGTGTGGTACAGCTGACGCGGAAACGTGGGGCCCTGTCCACTGTCCAGAGGATGTAAGAGGCTGTTTAGTTGGATTGCGTTGTCAGCGGCATTCAAAGTCCTCACCTGCCAAACACGCCACCTGTTGCCTTAAACGCTGTGCCACGTATCTGCACCCATTACCATTCGTATATATATTTTTATTATATTTTGTTTTTTTAAAAAAAGGTTTTATTTTTTACCACTCGCCGACGCCGTTTTACCCCTTTGCAACCGCGTTCCGTTGCGTGTCCAATTTGACTTCCTCCTTTGGGTCCGACGCCGTTTTACCCCTTTGCAACCGCGTTCCGTTGCGTGTCCAATTTGACTTCCTCCTTTGGGTGGGCCATGAAATATATAATTGATCTCAAATTCCTATTTTATTTCCATATTATTTATCTTTCTATTTCTTTTTTTTTTTTAAATAAAGTTTTCTAATTTATTTACGGTTACATTATATTAAAATTTTCTCCCAAGTCATTGTATTTTAACCTAATAAGCTAAATAAATTCAAGCTACATATTTATATCACAACAAATTAATTTTTAAATTCGAAAAATTAAATAATATCTATACGATTTTTCGAATATCAATTTAATTTTTTCGTTGAGAACTACGAGTGAAGATTATGGTTAAAAATTTTATTATTATTTTTATTAAGAGAAATAATAAATCTTTTTTAGTGGGAGTGTTTTATTATTTATTTATTTTTTTAAGTAAAGGGTAATTGAAACAAAAATTTCATGATAAAAGTTATTTTTTAAAAAAAATATTTTTGAAACTTTTAAAAATTTATTATCTAAAATATATGGAGGAGAGGATTTGAACTCAAGATTTATATTTGTATGTTGATATATTAATATTAAATAATGATTAAAATAATATCCAAACTTATATTAAAATATTATACCTGTGTGTTTTAATTTTTTTAATTACGGAGAGAATAGAAATAATTTAAAAGACAAACCCTAAATATAAAAAAAGAAAATTTATTATTTTTATAATGAAAAGATTGAGATTCTTTTGTCACCCACTAACTGATACCAAATTGTTTTAATTTTGATTTGAGATCACTCCCACTATCACGTTTTCTCCATACCAATGACATTAAACTACCAAATAAAAAACCACACTTTTACATGTTTTTTTTTAATGATTTATTTGTGTTTTATTATTTTAAATAATGATACGAGCACAAGATGATTATCAATCTAAACCGTAAATATTAAGTTATAATTTTAATTGATATAAACAACCTATATCACACCCGTTTAATATTATTATATTTTAATTAATGTATAACTTATTTCATTTAGATATTTAAAAAGAAAAATAATTATTTGATATAAAACGTTTAAGAAGATAATTGATATTTTATCTACTAAGATATGTTCAGATTGGCAAACCATCAAATTGAATATACCAAATAATAATTTAAAAAAAAAATGAGAAGGTGACACATGATATCTCCCACCATATGGTTGACATTGTTTATACACATTTCATTAATATTCTTTGAAGATGAGAAGCAAAAATGGTCTCTTTTTGCAAGCTTTCACAAATGTAAAGGTAAACCTAGGTAATAATAATAATAATATTGTAACAAAATAATAATAAATGGGCAATTATATAGTTAGGGATAAGGAAATACCTTGTCTTTTTTTTTTTTTTTTTGGACATTCCTAGGTAAAAAGAATAGGGCAGTCCCCACCATGTCCTAAATTAAAGGAACATCTGGAATATTATGGAGATGGCTGCAAATAAACTACGGTCTTATTGGTACCTAATTTTTACTTTTAAAACTATATTATAAAATTGCTCTTTTGAAAAATATCAAAATTGGGGATCATCACTATCATAGAAGATTTGATTTGTTGTTAATTTTAAATATCTAATTTAAGTCAAAAAAAAAAAAAATTATTTGTGTTTATGGACTAACAATTTATTAATGTCTTTAAAGAAAATATCTTAAACCGATTATTATTTGGGGAAGCTAACATTGTAATGATTCTATCCATGATTGTTAAAGTTTTGATTCATACCTATACGAGAATATATCTATACCTAAACCATACAAAAAAAATAATTTCTTGAACTATATTTAGAAATACATCTAAATAAGCTCATCGTTAAAATTTAATAAAAAAAAATAATTTCTTGAACTATATTTAGAAATACATCTAAATAAGCTCATCGTTAAAATTTAATACAATGAAAATAAAACTTTAAAGTTAAATTAATAAAAGTGAATATTTTTAAACAATCACTTAATTTAGAATTTAGCATAATTATGCTGTTGCAAAAGTGAATATTTTCAAAGAATCACTTCATTTAGCATAATTATATTGTTGTTGGTATGGGATTGGCAACCTTGGATACTAGCTCTTCTTATTGGAGATATCAACAAAGTGAGGTAGATATGAGGAGTGGATCCCCATCCTTGTCTCTATCTCTTATTTCAACTATCTTCTCTATGAAATTCTTTACATGACCTCGGATCCCCATCCTTGTCTCTATCTCTTATTTCAACTATCTTCTCTATGAAATTCTTTACATGACCTCCCTAAGTATTCCCCAAGTATTCTTTATATAATTGGGTTCTCATAAGGAATTTTTTTTTTTTATAATTTATTTAATATTTTTCTAAAAAAAAATATTTGCTTTAAAAGAAAATTTAAATGGATAATGTAATTCTATTGAAAAATGTAAATTAGAGTATATGAGGTTTAGTGCACACTTATTCCTAGTTTGAATTAGTCAAGTTATTAATTTTTATTAGGAGTTTCGGTTACAGTACAACACTTCATATTTCAGTTTTATCTATGTCAGTAATAATAATTTCATATTTATTCACACTTTTGAGCTGAAGTTGTCTGATTTTGTAGTTCACATTAATCAATTTTCTATTCTATCTTGTTTTTTTTTTTTTGTTTTTTATGGGAGATACAAGTGTAAATGAGGTACAACAAAGCTAAATGTATTTGAGAATGGGAAAATGCAATGATGGAAGAAATTTCAACACTTGAAAAAAATGACTCCTGGGAGCTTGTACCAAAGCCTCATGATGCCGATTTAATTACTTGTAAGTGGGTTTACAGGTTGAAGAAAAAAGCTGATGGTAGAATTGATAGATACAAAGCTTGTCTTGTTGCTCGTGGGTTCTCTCAGCAATATGGTCAAGACTATGATGAGACTTTTAGTCCGGTCGCAAGGATGGTAACATTATGGACAATCATCTCTTTAGCTGCTAGTAAAGGCTAGAAATTATGACAACTTGATATGAAAAATGTTTTCCTTTGCAGAGAGTTGGATGTGATATTTTTATGGAGCAACCACAAGGATTTACCTCTAAAAAATATCTTGATTATGAGAGTTGGATGTGATATTTTTATGGAGCAACCACAAGGATTTACCTCTAAAAAATATCTTGATTATGTGTGTAGACTTAAAAAGGCATTGTACGGACTCAAGCAAGCCCCTCGTGCTTGGTTTAGTAAGATTGCTCAATATCTTAATAAAGGCATTGTACGGACTCAAGCAAGCCCCTCGTGCTTGGTTTAGTAAGATTGCTCAATATCTTAATTTTTGTGGTTTTAAGTTTTCATGTGCTGATCCGAGCTTATTTGTTAAGAAAACAGCAACTGTATGCACCCTACTCTTACTTTATGTTGATGACATGATTATTACCGGTGATGATATTATTGAAATCAGTAGTCTCCAAGATGCCTTATCTGTTCGTTTTGAAATGAAAAGATTTAGGGGAAGCTAATTGTTTTCTAGATTTGGAAATTAAGAATGTGATAATTATTTTCTCTCTAAAAAAAGGATATGCAATAAGTTTATTGTATCCTTTACGTATAGAGAATTCAAGAGATAAAATGACTCAGAACCAAATCTCAAATTAGCTAGGAATGAAGGGAAGTCATTAGAAGATGCTACATTCTTTCATCAACTTGTTGGTAGTTTATTAAAACTTGTTGGTAGTTTATTTTATTTAACTATCACAAGCAACATTGCAATAGGAGTTGTGCCTTAATTATGGATCAGCCACATGAGAATCATTTAATTGCAGCAAAAAGGATTCTTTGTTACATCAAAGACAATTTAAATTATAGATTAATGTATGAGAAATCAAAGTCATTTTTTTGAGTGGTTTTGTGGATGCTAATTGGGTTGGTGACGTGAATGACAGACGCTCCACAATAGGTTTTTGTTTTATAGCAGGCTCTACTGCAATTTTAGGGTGCAATAAAAGCAAAACACTATTGATTTGTCCAGTTGTGAAGCAGAATATGTAGCTACTACAATCACTACTCAAGAATGTTTGTGGCTCAAGAGGCTTATTTAAGAAATGGTGACTACTTTCAATCAGCCAATTCAAATTAATTGTGATAATGAAAGTGCAATAAAACTGGCTGAAAATCCGGTGTTTCATACTCGTTTGAAACATATTGAAACTCATTATCATTTTGTTCGAGAAAAAGAGTTATCACAGGATGTTGAATTGCAGAAAATACATACTAATGAATTAGTACAACTTATTACTAGTTTGAATTAGTCCAGTTATTCATTTTTATTAAGGGTTTGAATTAGTTGCAATTTTAGTAGTTATGTGCAAAGGAGTGAGTCTTTATTGGAGTTATTTCAATTAAAATAGAAGTCTTGTTGTATGTAAAATACAGCTTACAACACTCCATATTTCATTTTTATGTGTATTGTCTTCCATATTTTTGCCTTTTTTGAGTAATAATAATTTCAGATTTATTCATATTTTTGAGTGTTAGTACTTAAAATAATTCCAGTGCGCTATTTTGACCAATCTCGACTTCCATGGCAGCACCATTCACCATCATCCATGCATGAGAGTTTTATCTTTATTTGAAAATATAAGGGTAGCATCATTCACCGTCATCCATGCATCAAGATAGGTTAAGATAGTCGAAAAATACACTTTTTGATGGCTCAAGATTGACATTTTGGCTTATCTGACTTGGGTCTGATATGCTCATATCATTTTCTTCTTGTTTCAACTTTTCGGGAACGTTTAAGGTTAGTATTACTACCTTTTAACTAGTTTAAAATTTTGAGGTCAAATTTAAATTATTTATGCATAACAGTTTAAATTATTAGCAGTAAGTAAATTATTTTATGTAAAATCAGGCTTAGTTTAAATTATTGTATGCAAAATTAGGTGAGTCAATTCCTATAGTAGAAATCAGGCTTAGTTAGTTTAAATTATTGTATGAAAAATTAGTGAGTCAATTCTTATGGTAGAATTCTAATTATGATTGTTGGATTCCCCATAGAATTAAATTTCAGAGAGCAGCATTAAGCTAGCATCAAGGAGTCGTAGTAGCTATGACCTAGGCCAACCAAGTAAGTTGCCTTACTATCGGCTCGGACGAAAGACTTGTCTTATGTATGACGATGTGTGCCCAATAGCCCTTGCACGTGTCATTTAGGCTTTATGTTATGTGATGATGTGATGACGTTATATGATGATGTAGTAATGTTATATGATGATGTAGTGGCATTATATTATAACGTGAAGATGTATATGATGATATGAAATGATGACATGATATGATGATATGATGATATAAGATGATGATATTTCATATTAAGATTATGTGCATGTATTAAATGTCATGAAGTATTATGATAATGAGTTTTCTAAGACATAACCCTAAATGAGGTTAATGATGATGAACGTTCGAAAACCAATGCATGCATGTTACCTTGGTAATATCTAAAAGATGTATAGGGTTGTGTCATAAAGATTATTTAAAGATAAAAACTATAGGGACCTTATGCATTTTGTGCGTGCATATACATCGAGTTACCTCCCCATTTATGATGATGAGTACGGACGCACACTATGACGATGATGATCATGCCTCGTATGACACTCAGGGGTTTGTTGACCTCCTGAAAGCTAGCTTGACTATGATGGGTCGAGGGGAGTGCGAACCACCTGGGGATCCACGCTTGCATGTGTGGGTTGTGTAGGGAAGTACTGCACATCCAATTTTGTCCAAACTGTAGGAAAGTACTATATGGTGTCACTCACTTAATATTTCTTAAAATAGTCAAGCCGCATACTACTTCTATTTCAGGTAAAGGGCAAGACACCTCTATATAGTTGACAAAGACATAGCAAGTAAAGACTGACACATGCATATGATAGTAGTACTTCATTTATTAGACTTTTGGTTAGTATAAGATGTTTTTAATTTTAATGTTTTATTTGTTTTATTTAGTATTTAGTTATGTTGCTTTAAAAATGGTTTTAAACATGTAAGTCCATGACTGTGTTTTATAATAAAGTTTTAAATATTAATTTCCACATAATATAGTATGTTATGATAACGATAATGATTTTAGGTTAGTAGAAATCTAGAGTCAATACAGTAAGTTCATGTCTTTATTTTAAAAATATTTGTTTTGAGTTTCTGCATATGTATTTAAGGCATGCGTTTTAAAAATATTTGTTTTGAGTTTCTGCATATGTATTTAAGGCATGCGTTTAGTGAAAAATAGGAGCGTAAAAAAAGTATAAAATGTTTTAATAAATCTAATAATTAAAAAGATTTATGTATGTGTGGGCAAGGAGGAGACCGTAAATATAATCGGTCTCTAGCCCCATTAAACTAAGAGAAACAAATCTTTTCCTACTTCCAACCCCATTCTCTCTTTAAACGAAAATCCTCTCGTTCCACTTCCAACCCCATTCTCTGTTTAAACCAAAATTCTTTTCTCTAACCTCACACGATCTTGACCCTACAGTTTAAATGGATATCTTTACTTGTGATTTTATTTTTTGTTTCACTCAAAAGTCTAATACTATTAGAGATAATATCTTTCAGTTATGTACCGACGATTTTTCTCTTATCTAGCTACGGTTAGCTACGTAACATTTTAAATCAGATTTACCCTAATTTGACTAAAAAAAAACCTTAAAATTTTCTTAATATAAAAATTTGAAGTTCCTACGTATTCTAAAGTAATGTCGAGTTAACCAATCAATTTGATTCACAAAAGAATGAACATGAATGGCTCTACACCAAAGCTGTGAAATTTCATGGATAGGAGAAGCAAGTGGGTTGTGTCACTTTCAAGAGAAGATAAGTGAGTTGTTTGTATGGGCATTGAAAGCCAAAATAAATTTGTTTTCTTGTAAGCCTATGTGATTCTGAATGAGATAGAGGGTTAGGGTTTTGGGGACTGTGACACACCAAGGGCACAGCTAGGGTTAGAAATGTCTCCCTCTTCTTTAGATGTGACTTGTCTGTTAGTCACCACCATGTCATCTTATTTCCTAGAACTAATGATGCTCATAGCATTTGCTTCATGTTCTTATGTATTTAGCATCTCTACTTTATTTTTAAATGTTTTTTAATTCGGGTGAATAGGACATTTACTGGAATATTACTTGAACATTTATTAAGTATTTACACGATTATAGACTTAAATAGTTAGAGTGGATATGATAATAAACACTCAGAGTCCTCCTCCCAAATAATAGTTTGTCTATTTTATATTAGTTTTTTTTTTTTTTATAATCTTTGAGTAGATCATTTGTTGATATCAGCCTGACAAGAGGACGTCTTTCCCTCCTAAAAAAACAAACTTCGAGCTCGATTATCACGAATCCTTCTTTAAAATAAATAAATAAATAAAAAAAAAAGCAATAGACAAACCATAATGGAATTATCTCTATTTATGGATATATTATAAAATGTAATTTTCATGTGCATATATGCTCATAAGGAAGGTTCATGGAAGAATCCATTTTCCTTTTTTTATTAAAAGAAAATAATTAAAATAATAATTTTCATCGATCCACAAGATCGAATGCCAAATGGCTCAATTGTGGTTTAATTAGTAAAATAAATATTAAGTGCATTTTTAGATTGAAAATTACAATATACAACAATATGGATGTGAATATGTGAGTAATTTAATACATTAATTATTTAACATGTATTATTATCATTATAAATGAATTATTGAATTTTATTTTTATTTCGTATAATTATTGAAACATGTTATGGGAAAGAATTCAATAATTTTTCAATATTACATTATTATTATTAGTAGAGAAAAAAAATTAGTTTAATTATTATTATTATTATTATTATATAAATTTCAAAATTATATTTTATTAATTACTAGTTTTGAATTTCTACCTTCAATATCTGTAATAATGTTAGATTATTGAAAAGTAGTTAAAAAATGAATATAATTAGAAAATTTTAATCCAAGATTAATAACTTTAATTAAGTGATTTAGTGTATAATAAAGGTTGATTAGTGTGTTGCATGTGATGGCTGACTCTAACTATCAGGCACCCTCTTCAAATTCCAATTTTCACATTGGCAATATAAAAATTATTATTGCTTATTGATCCCCCCACATGCTAAAATTACCATTTCTCTTGCATGGGTATTCCTCGAAAAACTATTATAAAATTTTCCGAATTTATAATAAAATATTATTTAATTCATATTTACTAATACTTAGAATAATTTTAAAAAAGATTCGTGTTGGTTTATAGAAATAGTGTCTTTACTGTTAGAAGTAATTCAATATTCATAAGTAACGTAGTAATGTATAAAAGAAAGAAAACAAATTGACATATCATATGGTGTATTGCATTAAATATATAATAAATAAATCAAAACTTTATAGTAGGGACCAAATATTAATTATTTGATAAAATAATATGGTTGGGGGTTAAAATTGATTTTACCACTCTATCCGATAAAAGAGGGTGAATTTTTGTTTGGTTTTAAATATTATTGGGTAGCGGTCTCTATTATTAATTTAAACCAAAGCCTAAAGTCATTACAACAAGAAGGCGACACCACAAGAAGAAAGCCCAAAACGACAACCTTTTTTTTTTCGTTCTCTATATGGAAGCTGTCGGCCGGAATATGGCGAACCAGTTTGCAAACTTGAAGGAGACTGAGCTCTGCCTCGGCTTACCCGGCGCCGGAGATCTCACCCTTAAAGCTTTCGGCAAGAGGGGTTTCTCTGAAACTGTTGATCTGAAGCTTAACATTCAGAGCAAGGTTGGCGGTGGAGTCGATGTCAACGAGAATATTAAGAATATTCCAGCGAACGTTGGCGGTCAGAAGAGCCTCGGCTCCAAGGATCCGGCTAAGCCTCCTGTCAAGTAAATTTCTTCTTCCAAGACGTAACTAAGGGTTAGGTTGAATGATTTTTCTCATCAATAATTTGTGGGGTTTGTAGGGCACAGGCTGTGGGTTGGCCTCCGGTGCGATCGTACCGGAAGAATGCCATGGCGCAGAAGAACACGAGCGGAGAAGGAACGAAGAAAGCGAGCGGTGGCAGTGCCGCTGCATTCGTAAAGGTTTGCATGGATGGAGCTCCATATCTTCGCAAGGTGGACTTGAAAATGTACCAAAGCTATCAAGAACTTTCAGATGCCTTGGCCAAGATGTTCAGCTCATTCGCAATGGGTAAAAAAAAAAAAAAAACAACTCGAACCCACAACTGAAATAAAAAATTTCTTTTTTCTAACACTTGGTACGTTTTTTATTATTATTTAAAGGTGATTATGGTACCGAAGGAACGATCGACTTCATGAATGAAAGAAAGTTGATGGATCTTCTCAATAGCTCTGAGTTTGTTCCAACTTATGAAGATAAAGATGGTGATTGGATGCTTGTTGGTGATGTTCCATGGGAGTAAGTTTCAATTCTTCCATTCCTTTCACAATGGTGATTGGATGCTTGTTGGTGATGTTCCATGGGAGTAAGTTTCAATTCTTCCATTCCTTTCACAGTTGTGTTTCGTTTCCTTTCATTCTAACCAAATCATATTTTCGTACAGGATGTTTGTAGAATCATGCAAGCGTTTGAGAATCATGAAAGGTTCGGAAGCTATCGGACTAGGTAATTCACGCTCCACTTTATAACATCGTGAAATTATTATAAAGAAAACAAAAACTTGTTTACATTAAAATTGATTTTACAGCCCCAAGAGCCATGGAGAAATGCAAAAGCAGAAGCTAGAAGAGAAGGCAATTGAGAAGTGTTTGTGAAGAGTGGTTCCAGCTTGGAAACATGCACGTTGTTTTCTGTGTATTTTTCACTCTTTAATGTTTTTTTTTTTAAATTTTAATTATTAGTATATANAAAAAAAAAAAAAAAAAAAAAAAAACCCCAAAATAATGTGCTGTTGGGGACAATATTTGTAATGGATGAGACATGGAAAGCTGTAAACCTTCACCTACTGTCTGTCTGGTTGGTTTGTTTGTGATGTTTAATTATTATTACAACCAATTAATTTTCCCAAAAATGGGTTTTTATTTTTGCTTAATAATCACACCCATTTCATTGTTTGGTTGTCAAATGGTATTTTATTCTATGAAATTGTATTATTTAGGGAAAAAGAAGATTCTTTTTTGGTTTTATTATTTCATACCTTAATTTATGGTATTTGTGTACTCATTTTTTTGAGGCTAAGGAGAAAGAAAAGGGTATAAATATTTAGGGACCCCATTGAGAGGGAACAAGGGCATGTGCTAGCATGTTAATGGGGCATTGATTAATGGAAATTTAATTTTATAATATAGTCTATGGTGGGAATAATTATAATCAAATAACATGAATATCATAAACTATCCCATGAAAATTTTACTTAATCTGTGGATCAATGTATTAAATTAATATTGTATTAGGGATTTTCTTGGATCTGACATTAATATACTAAAACTGTCTGTGGTATGATCTTTCCTTGCTTTGTTCATAACTAGCGGCTTTTTATGAGGTCCTTAATACAAATTGACGTTAATTTAACTAATGGAATGGTTATGTGGTAGCTAATAGTAACGATAGTGAAAATAAATAAATAAATAAAATAAACAAAAGATGGTTTCTTTGGTCAACTCCCCATATTTTGATCATTACAAACTTGGAGAGACAAGTCAAGCCAATCTCGAAAATAGGATAGGTAGTTGGTTGAGGCTAACCAAATAAGTGGCCTTACTGTCGATATAATTAAAAGATTTGTGTTATGTATGATGACACATGCCTAGTGGCCCTGCACGTGTCATATTTTTTATATGTGTATTATGTTTATAATATGATATGTTGAACAATAGAATATGATATATTGGATGATAAGATATGATACGTTGCATGATATGAAATGTGGTATGACATGATGTGTTGTACAATATGACATGTTGTAATGACATGATATGGATTGATGTATGATATGCCCACATATGCTTAGTAACATTAAAATAGAAATGGATGTCACATTATGCCTTATACTATGAAATGCCATGATATGCTGTAACATGTACGACCTGCGATGAAATGTTTTGAGACAAGAAGATTTATAACATACGACCCCAAAGACATGTTTTAAAGGTTATGCTATAAATGAAATGAAAGGAACAAAAAAGGGGTTGTCTTACATGATGCTACGACGGTCGCTATTTCTTCTAGTGTCCGACAATAGCACCAGATACGCTAGTCTAACTAGTACGAGGCTCAGGAGGTGTGCGACCGCCTTATGGGTCTATATTCACGCATATGAGTTGTGTGTAGGTTAGTAAATATACGTTCGATGACCCGGACTCAAAAGCCGCCTAAGAGAATATGATTTTAAATGATAGGTCCAATTCATGTTGCAAATGTTTGCATTCCCTAACCCCAATAGTGGGGTCACTCTAATTTTATATTTCAGGTAAAAGCAAGACACCCCTGTATAGTTGGCGGCGACATCGCAAAAAGATCATGGAACATACATAGGATAGTTGCATTTATTTTCTGTAGACTTTAGGTTAGTATAGGTCATTGCTCTTTCAACATTTTCATTTGTTGTATTTTAATTTACTTCAAATATTTTCTTTGTCTTACTTTAAGACTCTGTTTTAAACATATGAGTCCATGGTATCGTCTTATGAAATTATTGTAAATGAATGTTTTATGAAATTAGGGGTGTTACAAACTAATTTTATTTGTAAATAATATTCGTCATTATATGAAAAACTCAGATTATTAGTGTAACCTTGAATAGTATATGATTAACAGGTGCCTTTACTAATAATTTGATCCAAATTGTTCATGTGATGTGAGTGATAGTATCATATACAAGCAGTTTGTATAAATTTGTACCACAAAATATTTAATCTTTCTTTATAATTCATTAAGGTGAGAACATTAGTAATTCATAGGATGATTATATGCGGACTTGATCTTAATTCAAAATGAATAATGAGAGTTTGTACTTTGAATTAATTTTAATAGACTACAAGTTAGTATAAGTTATCATAGTACATGCTTAGGATAATTTCGTATTTCTAATTTTAATAGACCATTAGTAGCATATATGTTGGTGTAGGGCATTTCATATACCTTTTATTTTCATTTTATTTCAATTTGTATTAGTTTATTTCAATGCATTAATTGAAGCATGCAAGACTAAGGTTAAAGTTATTATAAAGTTTCAATAAAGTTAATTCTGCATTAAATGTTCATGATATGTGTACGGTAAAGACCTTAGGTTAAGTAGAAAATTTAGGGTCCGTTACATTAGTCCTCTCTTCCATGTTGTTATCTACACCATACAGCCCCATGAGTCTCGACGGGGTAGTTGTCAACATCGTGCTCGTTGTGAGGTAACTCAAGAGTCATTTCTTCTTCTTTCTCGTTTTTTTTTTTCTGTATCATACTATTTTTCTTTGCAGGTGGATTTTGTGCGGTGCGGCTAAAGGTCGTTGGCGTGTTCTTAGTGTCAGGGGAAATGTGTAGGGTGAGGGTGCGAGAATTCTGGCGAGTCATCGGAATTCTAGCCCCCTTTTTTTGCGACCCTTCTTTTTTTATTTTTTATTTTTGGATCCTTACATGGAATGTTCCATTAATTTTTTTTTTTCTTTTTATTTAACATTTATAGTGTTAGATATGTTGCAATTTAGATATTAAAATTAAAGTACTTCAAAATAAAATCTAGATTCAAGTAGGGTCAGACATGATTAAATAGAAAAACCTAGGATGTATACATACAATTTTGTTTCCAAAAACCAGGAAAACTATGATTTAGTGGTATTCTTGTCAATGAAGTTGTATAGATATGTTGTTTGACATATTTAAAAGTGAAATAAGGAACAATTTTATTGAAATATTTCAAATATAGGTAGTACATTCATATCTAGAAATAAACTAGTTTTCTTCGATCAATCGTAGCAACAACAATGTTTTTCCTTATTAGAAGAATCATTAGAAATCTTTGGAAAACAAAATCCGGAGGAATCGAGTTTGAGACAATCGTCGTTACAGGAAACATCATCGTAAGTTTCAGAACATGGCCGACCAGTACAAAACATGAAGAAGTCTCCTTTGGCTGCCATGTGACCCATGATTAACATCGTTAAGAATAAATTTTAAGCAAAATTGAAAAAAAAATTATGAAATTAGAAGGGTTTTGGTATAAGAGCATACTTGATAGAAAAAAACATGCGAATATCATTAGCAGAAGAGTTGACGCGGTAAAAAGCTTTTGAGTTCTCATGCCTCTTAAAGTTGAATGCTTATACTTGTATGCAATTACAAGATCAAAATGGTGAGTTTTTAGATATCAAAAGTGTGCTTATTAATACTGTGTCCTTGCAACAATATCGGTAACATAAAATGCCATAAAGACAAAAACAAACACATTATAGAAAGCATATTCAAAATAGAAAATCATGGTTTATAAAAACAAACATATGCTGTTTATGTCTACTATTAGAGCAAAACATTGATGATTATAAAGGGTGCAACACCAAATAACAATCTTTTCTCTTTGTATACAAAAGTTTAGTTTGTATATAAAATTTTAAAACAGATAATAAGAAAATTTAGACATTGTGTTGAAGCAAATATCTTGGCAAAGAAAAAAAAAACATGACAAACGAATGGAAGTAGGAAGGAAAAACAAAACTCACCAACTACTATCGTCACATAACAAAACATTTTAATTTATTTGTGATTGAAATATTTTTTATTTTTTATTTTTTTGTTTTTTTCCCACCAAAGTGAGCGTTGCAATGTGCCCTAAATTCACCTTAGACCTTTTAGTGAACGGTGCAATATGATCGCATGTTTTTATCCACAAAAGTAAGATGTCTTGATAAGATAAGAAATCACTACAAGGAGAGTAAGATTCAGATTACCTTGTTGATCGAATATCTCAAGGCAAGAGCATTGTTTGAGATCTGAATCACTCCACAAGCAAGATCGATCATGTCTAGCTTGAATGATTCTTGTTGATCAAATATCTCAAGGCAAGAACACTTGCTTGAGATTCGAATCACTCCACAAGCAAGATTGATCATGTCGAGCTTGAATGATTCTACATGCAACCTAAACTACATAGAATTGCAAATAAACTTAGTCATTGGCTAAAGAAGAGCACAAATGTTTATTTTACTATATTTTCAAGTCTGCTTACAAATACAATATACATGGCTCTATATAGCTTCAAAATGAAACTACTAAAGGCATTCCAAGAGTTTGTTACATTCATACTTAATGACCATAATTAACCATTATGTAATTGTAACCCAAAATAAATAAAAACTCTTAAATACATTAATGAAATACAATAGCTCTAAATTGTAATCCACCCCAAATTTATCACATGAAACTTCATTCTTCTTCAATGTGGCATGAATTGAAATATCTTTTGATAATTTCAACAATATTTTCTTCACATCTTCATTGAAGCATATTGTATGATTCATGTTCCTTGTTTCATATCATTCTCCACTTCTTCAAGAGGATTCGTCCTCGAATCTATTTGTGAAACTTTGCTGCAAGAAATAAGTAGTGGAAATACAAAGGACCTCACAACACTCTCTCACGAGTATATTCTCAAAGAGTTTTTAGGCCACTCTTTTTACACTCGTTTACACAAATGAAACTCTCATTCTCACCTCTCAAAATTTTAAATAAAGCAAATATTGAATTTTGAACTTTGGGTAGATTAAAAACTAAAAAGATAAAAATAAATAAAAATCAAATTGAGAAGAAATGCAAAGGAAACATATATCCGATCTTGAGCCTGAAGCTCTGATACCAAATGATAAGATAAGGAACCACTACAAGGGGAGTAAGATTCGGATTACCTTGTTGATCGAATATCTCAAGGCAAGAACATTGTTTAAAATTCGAATCACTCCACAAGCAAGATCGATCATGTCTAGCTTGAATGATTCTTGTTGATCAAATATCTCAAACACTTGTTTGAGATTCGAATCACTCCACAAGCAAGATTGATCATGTCGAGCTTGAATGATTCTACATGCAACCTAAACTACATAGAATTGCAAAGAAACTTAGCCATTGGCTAAAGAAGAGCACAAATGCTTCTTTTTACTATATTTTTCAAGTCTCTTACACA